TTTGGGACAATTCATAAAATAATACGTATAGCGTGAATAACCCTGTATATATATATTACTTTCGATACTAGACCACCCATGCCAAGACGATCTCCGCCTTTACCACCCAGACGACCAAACTATCGTCGATCTTCTCCAAGGTTCCGCAGACGCTCCCCACCGAGACGAATGAGAAGCCCACCAAGAAGGCGCCCGGTGCATTCGCGCAGCCCACCGGCTAGAAGGAGGAAGAGATCGACATCAAGCAGTTCCCGATAAGAAATTTCACTCAAGTTCAAGAAAAATAGACCGTTTATAAAAATGGTTCGTTTAGCATGAACCACGTCTATTTTCTTAGTTACGCCTGTCATCTCATTTGACGGCTATCAGCCGATTTCAAGTGGGCAATGATTCCAAATCAAGAACAAAACGTCAAATTTACAGTATGTCAAACCGCATCATCAGTTTCAATATTATTGCAATTAAGGTATAAACATAATTGAATAATTCGTTACAAAACTATATATATAAATAATTAGGCGGTCATGTTGTTGCATCTGTTCTGGCAATAAACCTCACCCATTCCCGTTCTTAGTTTGGCTAGCAAATAGTTAAAATTGGCTTTTCCTTAGCAGCCTTCGAATTCAGCCTGCCTATGTTCGCTTTATTGGCTTTGGCTTTCTTCGTTGTCGACTTTTCCGGTGCGCCCAACGGAACTAGCTTTATTCGATCCAATGTTTTATAAAATGCTAGCACGTCCGGATTTGCCCACACTTGGTTTGATCTGTAAATTTCACTATAATAAACACTTCAATGAGTGTGAAATGAAACTACTTACTTAAAATCCAAAACCCTTAAACCTTCCAAGCTCTGAGCTCGGCTTAAGGCTACGTAAGCTTGGCCTGCTTCAAAGACTCTTCCCAGGGACATTTCGACGCAATCTAGGGTTAATCCTTGAGACTTGTGGATTGAAAATGCCCAGGCCAACCTTAACGGCACTTGCATCCTTGTCAATGAAGCTCCACCTTAAATTGGCTCTTGCTATAGCCGCTTGGAGGTGAAATAATGGAACATACCTCCAGTTTTGATAATCCATTTTTCGCGTCGGGCTAGATATTCTTTCCGATTTCGGAACTGTACAAGGGGAAGTCCGTCTCTAAAACTTTTTACCACACCGCGGGCTCCATTTACCAAGCCGGCTGCTACGTTAATGTTCTTTAACAGCATAACCTAAAGACGAAAATTGCATTAGGAAAACTTGTAATAAAATTTGTTCGCATACACCAATCTACCTGCGCTCCAATTTTTAATTCCAGTCGATCTGGAACTGACGTTTGTGAATCCAATTGCTTGCTTGTGCCTGGCACTGAATCTTGGGCTTCAAACAGTTTGCACTCCCCTTAAATAAACAACTATTGGAAACAAATTGTACTTCAAAAAACACCGAGGTCTTACCTTCTAGTGCTCGGATTTTGGATTCGTTGATAATATCGGCATCCTTAGTGTGTGAGCACAGCCTAGTGGCTAATATCCCGTCTTTCTCAATTTTTTGCTTTGAAGTAGCAGTAAGAGCATTTACCACATCATCGTCCGCTTTCCCTGCAATTATGATTGGTAAATAGGTTTTATTGCTAAATACCAACCCACACAGATTACCTATTCTAATTTTGTTTAAAATGTTGATGAATTTATGATCGGTCTGCCTATGCACTTGCTTCAGTTCGTACGTGTTGAGCATGCAATTGACCCACGGTTTCGTTTGGAAACAGAAGTTTGAAGATGCTGTCTTTTGGTCACGAAACGATCTTGTTACGGGAGGTAGTTGAAAGAAATCTCCACATAAAATCAGCTGAATACCTCCAAACGGTTTTTCATTTCTACGTACGGTACGGGCCACCTGAAACCATGATTATTTTGATTATTACTTTGGAGAAAGAAATTTTTTTTTTTCGTTATTCACTGTTGAACGTTTTAGAACATTTTCAATTACCTTTTCAATTTTTTTAAAGTAATGTCCATCCACCATAGAAATTTCATCTATAATTAAGTGCTTGCATTTCCTCCACAAAGTCACTGCTGGAGGTTTGGAAGCCAGCTCCAAGCTTCTTTCAATAGTCGCATCGCCACTCCCAATCCCGGCAAACTGATGCAGAGTAATTCCCCCTATATGACAAGCTGCTACCCCTGTAGCGAAATTTTATGATATCAAGTGTCTACGTCTAAATAATCTTATCTGTTTTTTTTACAAACTTCTTTGGGTATTTTGCCTCAGAAATTGTCAAAATTTTTCTGAATTGGTATATCGAGAAAAGGAATTTGGTGATTTGTTCTTTACCTTTATTAATTTAAAAAATGATATTAAGTCAAAGTCACATAACTGACAATTTGCACAGACGAATTATCAGAGCGAATTTTCATATACTGTATTAT